CTATTTATCAAACACATTTAGATTCTATTTGGTAAATGGTTGTTAGCTGATAGTTGTTAGTTGTTAGTTGATTGAGTTAATTAGAGGGCATACGTAGTTGATAACATTAGTTAATTGTAGAAAGGTATTTGGTAAATTAGCTGTTAGCTGATAGTTGTTTGGTATAATTTCTTTTCTCAAAAAGCTAATTGAAAAAGTTGCTTTGAATAGTTTTTTGAATTTTAGCATCTTACAGTGCGTTTGGTTGGAGGGATTTTAAATTCCCTTCCTACATAATTTCAACCTAATTCCAAAGACCATTAAATTCCGTAGTTTGGTTGGAAAGAATTGCAATTCCCCATTTTCATGGAATTAAAATCCCATGTCCCCCCTGGGATTTTAATTCCTGGGATTTTAAGAAGAAAAAAAAATACTGATGAGACAAAATTACCCCTCTCTTTTTTAACCTAAAATAACCTTTCCTTGTAATAAAATTAATAATAATAATAATAATAATAATAATAATAATAATAATAATAATAATAATAATGATAATAATAATAATAATAATAATAATAATAATAATAATAATAATGAGCATTTTGGACTTTATACTACTTATTCCCTTTCAATTCTCATGTATACCAAACATTGGAATTTAAATTCCCACTTTATTCCCAGTAATTCATCTCCCATGAAATTACAATTCATTTCCCATATAATTCCCTCACTCCAACCAAACGCCCGGTAAATAGTTACAAAAAGCTAATTAATTAAACATTTATATTGATTTTTTGTCAAACAATTAATAGTAATTAAATAAACTAAAATTGACTAATAAGCTAACTAATTTACCAAACAGGGCCTTATAGCATCTACATCAGTAGATATTAGGAGGATAATGTCAGATTCATTCTCTTGAGTGGGAATAATATCAAGTGTGGAGAAGAAATAAAGGTGGGAAGAATTCTCCTACAAAGTTGAGGATAATGACAGAAAAGAAAAAAAAATCTTGAGTGGGAATAATATCAAGTGTGAAGAAGAAATAAAGGTGGGAAGAATTCTCCTACAAAGTTGAGGATAATGACAAAAAAGAAAAAAAAATAAGGAACATGGGCTGCTATGGCACGTTTCGCGCACCGCGTGCCTAAACCTTCTGTTTTTTTAATTTTATTTTTTTTGTTTTTGTTTTTTGATTTTGATTTTTTTTATCCCCTTCCCACATTCTATTTCCTAATTACTCTTACATTATTCTCCAATTCTCCCCAACGGGCCAGCCTAGCCCGTCACGGGTTGTCAAAAAACGGATCCGACCCGACCCGGCCCGTTTTCAAATACGAATTGGGAAACTTGGCCCAACCCGTATACAACGGGCTGGCGGGCTAAACGGGCCAGCCCACCAGCCCGTTTATTTTTTTTTTTAATTTATTTTTTTAATTGTTATAAATATTTGTGTATAATAAGAATTGAACATTTGACCTCTCATGTAAATAATCAAGCTTTATTCCACTTGAACAACCTATAACTTTGGAAACAAAATTGTGTATAAATATAAATAAATATATATAGATATATATGAAAAGTACACATAGTCACATATACCCACGTGTAACTATAATTAACTTATAAACAAATAAACTTTATGTTAATTATATAATTGTATTAATATTTACATAAAATTATAATTAATCATATAAATAAAGCTTGTAAACATATTATGATTAATTTAACTATATATAATTGAGTTTATAATTATTTATCCGTTATATATATATATATATATATATATATATATATATATATATATATATATATATATATATATATATATAAAATGCTAGTTCATTAAATGTCAACCAATAAAATGATTCATGAATTATACAAATATATAATATATAATTATGAAACATAATGTATGTAATTATGAAAACATATAATACATGTTCATATGTTGTATGGTTATATATTTATATAAATAATTTACAATTGAGTCTCCGTACAACTACTCATGTACAGCCGGTATAGCTGTGGTATATGTCTAAATAGTTGAGCAATATATGTTTATGTACCAAGGATATCTATATTGATACTTGTTTTATTCTATACCGTAAATCAGTAATGAACCTCAGCTCGCTTAACTATTTAAAGTTATGACTTTTGTTATGTAAATGAATTTCTAGCATCATAATTTCATTATATACATTTAAAAAAATATATATACATTCTTGAACAATATTATATTCTACGTACTACAGTTGAAACATGCTTTCTAGTAAAGTCGATTATTTATATAAATAATTAAATATAATTAAATATATCACCATACAACATATGAGCAATAAGTACAATTAGTCTAATTTGTTAGATGTTTGTGGTAAAAGTGTATTAAATTGAGAGGTTATGAGTTCAAGTCTTGCCATAAACAAATATTTTACACTTAAACTAAAATATATTTTAAAAAAATAAAATTAATAATGGCTAAACGGGCCAACCCGTGTAACCCACGGGTTGGCCCGTTTGGACCCGTGTAACAGTCGGGTTACACGGGCCGGGCCCCATCCGGGCCGGGACTAAAATTGCATGACTCAACCAGTCATAAAGACGGGTTAAGCGGGCCCAGCCCGACGGGTTGGGCCCGTTTTGACAGCTCTACAAACAACATGACTAACCCTTTCTCCTTTCTAATTTCTGTCAATTCCATACCCTTTTTTCCGCCTTTTTGGATCTTTTATGGCCCATTTGGTTCACGGAATAGGCGGGGAATGGCATAGCATTCCCAGTAATAGGCTTATTCCGTTGTTTGGTAACCATTTCTATTACCAGGAATAATATTCCTGGTAATAGCCTATTACCTCAAATAAGGTAATAGCTATTACTAGGGCCCCCCTGGTATTAGCCTATTACTGAGCGCTCAGGAATAGATTTTAGAATCTATTTCCTTTTTTACCCATTTCTTTAACCTAATTTTTTTTATCATATATATAAATTTATCATATTTCACCACCGTCGTCGTCGTCGCCGCCGCCACCACCACCACCACCACCACCACCATCGTCGCCGCCGCCACCACCATCACCGCCGCCACCACCACCATCACCGCCGCCACCACCACCATCACCGCCGCCGCCGCCACCACCACCATCGCCGCCGCCGCCACCCCCACCATCGCCGCCCCCACCACTGCCACCACCGCCACCATCACCACCACCGCCACAACCGTCGCTGCCCCCACCACCACTGCCACAACCGTCACCGTCAACACCACCACCGTCGCCCCCACCACTGCCACCGCCACCACCACCACTACCACCACAGCACCACCACCGCCACCGCCACCGCCACCGCCACCATCGCTACCATCACATATTTTTATAAGGGTATTTATGCCTTTTAAAACATATTTCATTTCTATTCCTTAAATCAACCAAACACTGTAATATAATTCCTAAAGTCTATTCCTTCCGCGAACCAAACAATAGAATACAATTCCTATTTTATTCCTTGCCTATTCCATTCCTTATGGAATAGCACCTATTACCTCAAAATTCATTCCGTGAACCAAACATGCTGTTAGTTCTTCTTTCAAGATCTCCTTTTGGCATTCTTTTGCTCAATATTAAGAAAGCTCAATTAATTCTCTCTTCATTACTACCAAACAATACAACACCAAATTTCCAAAAAAAAAAAAAAAAAAAAAAAAAAAAAAACGCCTTAAGAAAGTCTTTTCTTTTTCTGTTTTTAGTCGGTTAACTAGGAAAAACTTAAGTTGATTTATCTCTTTTTTCAAAAAAAAAATAATTTATTTATTTCTTTGGAGTCCTTTAACGACTAGGGTCACAATACTAATTTCACCCAAAAGTCAAAGCACATTTTTGAGTACTGAACTTTCCCATTGACCTAGAAATTTAAGGCGGCTCCATTCCCAAAACCAATGATTGAACCCTTGATATTTGGTTAAGGATGAATGAGTCCCTTCCACTCAACCACACCCCCAAGTTAGGAAAATCTTTCATTGTATCTCCCATTATTTCTTCACAAAATTTTCCATTTCATTATTTCAAGTTTTATAGCTCTTCTTTCTTGTGTTTGTTTTTCCCGAGTTTAATTTTTGTATTTTATGAGAGTTTACTTATGAATATATGTAAATTAGGTGTTTAATAGAAGACGTATCTTAGCTTTTCATCCATTTTTATTGTTTTCTTTATTTATTTTTATTTTTTTTAAAAAAAAGGTACGACACGGAAATAAAATATTAATTTTGATACATAAAGGATTTGAAAGGGAAGCTCTCAAAAAGTATTAAGAGGGCGTTTGGTATTTTATAGGAAAAAATAATTAATATATTTGGTATTACCTAGATATTAAAAAGAAAAAAAATTGTAATTTATATTACACCGTCAATTATCAATGTCATTCGTAAATTATCAGTTGTGTAAATGTTTTCTCTCAATTTTTAAAATGGTATATATATCTCTCGTTCTGTACGGGAAGAGCGATATATGTATCTTTTCGAAAAATAAGGGGTAACATTTACATTACGGGAGGCATTATATGTACCGTTTTAAAAATTGAGAAACAACATTTACACCATTAATAATTCAATGATGACATTGATAATTGGCATATTATGAAGGAACATAAATTAAAATTTTCCCAAAAAAAAAAAAAGCATAAGAAAAAAATGTTCAAAGATAAATTTCATTGATAAGTAGTGTTATCTTTCGTAATGGTGGAAAAAATAAATGTCTTATATTTATAAGAAACTTTTATTAAATAATAAATACATAATTAAATAATCATCCGAAAAAATAATCCTACACCAAACTTTCCTAAGTTAAAAGATTGCAGCAAACGTAGGAAATAATTTTTCCTCTTTTAAATTCTCAGAAAAATTCAAACTTTTCTAACTACCAAACACCCTCAAAAGGTAAACTATATAAAAGATTATTAAGTTAAATCTCTAGTGTGACTTCGAATCTCCCACTACCCTTGAAATGTTTGTATTGTTATAAGAATCAAGATAAAATGCAATACTAATAAATAACCATTAACGCATAACTTTATGAACAAAGACGACTATAAACAATAGAAAATTTTCACACAAGATTTTCAACTTTCAAATACCCTTGCAGAGTTTCTTCACATTGTCAATTTCACGGTCTTTAGAATTTACCAAATATGCTTCTGTTTCAAGTGGTACTTTTCAGCCAGTCATCTCTGTATCACGACTTGCACTTTCGTCACTAACAGGTGAGCTAATCGATGCAAAAATATGCTCGATTTGTAGAGGAGAATGTCGAACTGCATACTGGAACAGAACCTGAAGAAGGAAAAACGAACTAAATGAATGTCCATGGACAGTGCATATATACATGTGTCTAGGTCGTTATTGGACTAACGGCTAACCTTGGAGTAACTATCAGCGAAGGCACGTGAACGGTTGGGTTTGCCAAGGTATTGCAAATCAGCCTTCTCCAGTTTACCATCTACCAAAACTAATCCACCTTCGCTAATAGAAAAACGCAGAAGGTCTCCCGAGCGTAGTCCAGTCTGAAGACAATTGAAAAGAAAATTGGAAAATTGATCAAGAACAGATCAAAGGGAATATAGTAGAAAGTTTTTCTTCAACCACATATATGATAACATTAGCTGATTGCAGAAAAGTGTTTGATAAATTAGATGTTAGCTGATAGCTGTTTGGTATAATTTCTTTTCTCAAAAAGCTATTTGAAAAAGCTGCTTTGAGCAGCTTTTTGAATTTTAGCATTTTGGAGTTACAAAAAGTTAATTAACCAAACACTTATATTGATTTTTTAACCAAGTCAAACAATTAATAGTGGTCAAATAAGCCAAAAATGACTGATAGGCTAACTATTTTACCAAACAGGGCCTAACCTGTTGGATGAATTCCGCATTCAAGCATCCAAATATAACAGGAGGATCATCTGACGTCGCCAGTCTCCCATCATCCAATAGCTCCAAAACTACCTGATTGAGCAACAAAAAAATAAAAAAATCAATGCCTAGTAGAGAATGCAATATCAAGCTTGATATAAAGATACCGGCATACCTGTTGTTGAGTTGGAATTTCTCCTTTATTATCAGTATCAATGACATACTGGCTACAATTTGTGTCCTTCCAAACCAACACAAGTGGTGTATTCCCTGTTTGATAGTGTGCTTGCCTATAGACGGGAAGCGGAGAACATATAGTGTCAGAATTAATTCACAATCAATTAAATGTGAAGATACTAGCCGAAAGTCGGTCAATATCAGTATTATGTAGTGAAGGATTCTCCTTTACTAAGGACAACCCATGAAAAGAAAAGCCATTACAGGTAAATGTTTGCAGTGCAGCATTCCAGGTAACTAGTAAAAATCATCGAAAATGTGCAGCAGAATACTTTATAAAGGTTTAAAATAAAAGAAAAAAAAATTCTTACTTATTGTAGAAAAGCAGTCCATCCTTGACATATGGCACGGGCCCTGTATAAGCAGAATGAAGTCCTTCCTGGACACAATCATAGACTGGAACGCTACTAAATCTATATCTATGGTACGTCGAGGGAGCCTCACAAGCCCCCGTCTCGGCAAGTTTAGTGTTCAACCAGTAGAATCGGAACTCAGCAGTGCACTCATATAACGAAAACCCCGCCCAACAAACCATGTCAATCACATAATACGTTTGATCTAACTGCCACTCCAAAGACAACCATAGCTACGTTAGAGTTATTGTAATACACACAATTAGTAATCGCACCACTAACCAATGAAATGTGACATTTAACCGTTACCTCATGAAATACACAATCAAGAATGCAATATGACTGAGCGGATTTATTATTGGTCCTGGCGCCGCTTGGTAAAGCAGAAGGAAACCGATGCAAGAGAGAGCCATTCCGTAGCCTACTGATCGTTGTCCCATTCGAAGACACAACAAAACATCGTTTTCCAGCAGGCCTTGCGGATACATACCTGCAGAGAAAATATAATCCTTTAAATTAGTAATTACTTCTTTTGTTCTCTAAGCCTAAATTATTACCCCCACCAAATTTCTTTCTGATGCTCAGTAATTGCATAAACTTGAGCAAATGAAATGGATAGCAATAGCAGAATCTAAAATTTTCTAATTCATCAAAGGAAATTGGAAATTATGCAGCAACATAGGCATACTTAAGTGAAAATCAATACGAAATAGATAATGAGGTGAACTGACCAGTCAGTACTGAGGTTATCAGGAACATCGATCATCCACTCAGGAAGCATAAGCTGTTTAGCGAACCAGCGGCGAGCTTCGGCTCCTCTGATTCTCGAGAGCTGACGAATATCATAGCCATCGCTCTGAGATGGATAATCGGGTTCAGTTTCCTCGGGTCCGGGTCCGGGTCCGGGTTCAAGCTCGGGCTCTTCGGAAAGGGATTGAAGCTCGTGGTGCTCGGACTGAATGGAGAGGATGGTGGAGGCTAAACGGCGCGCTTGCAGCTGAGCGTCGCGGCGGTTCTGTTCCTGGCGGAGAAGAGATTGCTCGCGGCGTCGTTGTTGGTCGGTGATCGCCGGACGCTTGAACGGACGGCGAATATCGTGTTGCCCCATCGTTGATTCACCTCGGTCGGAGTTCAAGGTATCCGGTTCAATGCTCTCCGGTTCCGGGATAGATGACAAGAATTCGGAAGGGCAATTGGCACACTGCCGCTCACTTTTGCCCGACGGCAAAAGGGGAAAAGGTTTCAAATTTCGTTTTGGATAAATTCCACTTTGATCCTTAAAATTTAGTATATATAAAATGCACCCTAAGGTTTCTAAAATTTCATTTTAGGGCTGTCAGTATGGTTGAGCACTTGAGCATTGGATGGGTTCGAACGGTTCGGGTACACGGGTGACCAATCTGAACGGACTTCGGTTAAGGTGTTCAGTGTTGAAGACCCAATTCGTGTTTTTTTATGTATAAACTCATCCAAAATTTTATTAATTTACTAAAACAAATTGACTGATTTTACTTTCATTTTTTTATGTTTCATCTAAAAACTACAAATCTTCAATACATCAATTCTGTCAAAGTTCAAACATACATACAAAATAGAAATCTTCAATACATCAATTCTGTCAAAGTTCAAACATACGTACAAAATAGAATAGAACATACAAATTTACAGTTTAGTAGCTAAAGTATTGCCATTAACAAAAATACAAATTGGCATCAATAAAAGTAATATAGTTTAATGCCCTTTCTAAAAATCAGGAGTCAAAAAAGTGATCCATCATTTCTATTAGGACTCTATGTATCTGAGTCTGTTTAGAACTTCTTATCCTCGTCACACTGTGACTCTCTACTTCTTATCCTTATCACACTGTGACTCTCTATTGTATATATTCACATCATCTTATCTCATTGTAATCAAGTTCAGAAAATATAATACAATCAGTTCTCATCTGGCCTAGCTAGGGTTTTGTGATTCATAAAATCAAGAAGATGCAGCGTTGCGGTGACAACCTTAGTTACCGTGGAGGTCAGCAACGTGGTTTCGATGATCCGTGTCAAATTTGTGAAGGTTTCGGCCACATAGGAGTCAATTGTTTTTGGCGCTATGATGATCCGTGTCAAATTTGTAAACGTTTTGGTCACACGGGAGTCAATTGTTTTTGGCGCTATGATGATCCATGTCAAATTTGTAAACGTTTTGGTCACACGGGAGCCAATTATTTTTGGCGCTATAATGATCCGTGTCAAATTTGTAAAAGTTTCGGTCACACGGGAGTCAACTGTTTTCGGCAATATTCAGGGGCTCCGGGTTCTCAGGCTAATTTGGTGTTTCAGAATGGTTCAGTTGCTAAAACCTCGTCAAATTCTCATACTTGAGTTCCGGACACTGGAGCCACAAATCATGCAACTCCAAACATCGCTGCCCTTTCTACATCAGAGAAGTACCATACACTGGTAATGACACTTTACGTGTCGGTGACGGTATGGGTTTATCTATTAGTCATGTTGGTCATGCCTCTTTTAATACCCCTTCTAGATCATTTACATTGTCTGATATACTTCACGTTCCACGTTTGTCTAATTCTTTATTATCTGTTCAGAAGTTTGCATCCGATAATAAAGTCTTTTTTGAGTTTCACCCCTCCCTTTTTGTTGTGAAGGATATCAATACCAAGGAAATACTTCTTCGGGGCAATAGTTCGGGGGGACTATACACACTTTCATTACTTAGTTCGTCTCCGTCAGCGTTTCTTTCCGCTCGTGCCTCGGCTTTCACTTGGCACAATCGTCTAGGTCATCCTCATAACCGTGTTCTTAGCCATATACTTCGTTCTTGTTTGGTTAGTGGGTCTCGTGTTAATATTCGTTGTCATAATTCTTTATGCAATGCGTGTCAATTAGGCAAATCTGCCCATTTTCCCCTCCCTCGTGTTGCTTCCTCTAGTTCTCAAGTCCTAGATCTTATTTACACAGACATTTGGGGTCCTGCACCCACTTTATCTACTTCTGGCTTTCGTTATTTTGTGATCTTTTTGGATGACTATTCCCATTATACATGGTTCTTCCCTATGAAATTAAAGTCTGATCTTTATGTCATCTTTGATAAATTTCGCACTCTTGTTGAACGGTCCTTTAATTGCAAAATAAAGGTCATTCTTGAGGAAAAAAGTAATCTTAGTATCAATAGATCCAATTGAGGCACAACCAATGTTGCTCTCTCTCAATCCTTAAAGAAGATGTCTTCTTCAATGTAGAGATTAAGGATGAACAAGTTCGTTACGTACTTATCTCTCTCTAGGGTTTCTTTCTAGAGTTTCTCTCTAATTCCCTACTAGGGTTTGCCTAGGGTTTCGTACGTTGATCAGCAGGGTTTTTCGACGAGTCTTTGTCCGCTCCAGCGGGTTTGTGACGCCGGGAAGGACGCATGGAACGACAGAATCATGCGGTGGTGAGGAGGGGTTGGCGGAACGAGGTTTGCGGCGCCGGGAAGGAAATCTGGAACAACAGAATCATGCGGCGATTGAGGAGGGGTTGGCGGAATGAGGTTTGCGGCGTCGGGAAGGAAGTCTGGAACAACAGAATCATGTGGCGATAGAGGAGGAATTGGTAGAAGGGTATGCGGGTATCTCTTTGCTCGACGAGGAGGAGATGTTGATTCCGGCAGGGGGGGTTGTTGCGCCGGTGGTGGGGGTGGAGGGCCGTACATGGGTTCTTGTTGGAAGGTTTTTGACGCGAAAGATGGTGAAGCTTGAATTCATGCGGGAGGTGTTGGCTTTCGTATGGCAGCCCGTGTGTGGTGTGCAGGTTTCAGAGTTGCAACCGAATCTTTTTATGTTTGTTTTTATCATCAGACAGATTTGCAACGTGTGATTGATGAGGGGCCGTGGTCCTTTGATAACCATACCTTGGTGTGTCGACCGGTGGAAGATGGGATGCTGCCGAATGATGTGGTTCTTGATACGGTTGATATGTGGGTCCAGATCTATGGACTCCCGATGGTTATACATCAATGATCATACAGGAGCAGGTTGGTAATTTTCTGGGAGGCTTTCTGAAGGGGGATGAGAGGTTTGATGATCGTCCGTGGAAGGCGTTCTACCGGATCCGTGTTAGTATTCCGGTGGCTAAACCGTTGCGTCGAAGAATGAAATTTGCAAAGCGGGATAAGTCTTAGTGTTGGGTGACATTCAAGTATGAAAGGCTGCACACTTTTTGCTTCTTCTGTGGCTTACTGGGCCATTCATACAAGTTCTGTTTACAAGCGCGAAATTCGACCCTCGCTTTGGATCAGTATCCGTATGGGGTGGAGATGAAGGCGGGGTTACCACGCGGCCCTAGGCCGGTGGGCAGTTCGTGGCTGGTTCCTGTTGGGGGAAGAGAGAAGAGGTGGCCGAGAGGGGAGGTAGGCCGTGTGCTACGGGTGGGGGGGTTGCGGTGGGGGCTTTGGCGGAGGGCCAACCGGTGAGTGGCGAGGGGGTGGTGTGTGGTCCGAAAAGGCGCAGGGAAGAAAGGGGTACTGAGGATCTCACGGGGAGGGATGGTGAGGGAGTGGTGGAGAGGGTTGGGGAGGATGTGGCAATGCCGGATATTTCAAAAAAACTTGTTCATGGCGGGCTCTGGTTCCCAGACCCGCCCATCCTTATGAGTACCTTGAGTTGGAACTGTCGTGGCTTGGGTGATCCACGAACAGCTCGGGAAGTAGTGGATATGGCATCCAGAAAGAAACTCGATTTTATTTTTCTTATGGAAACGAAGGTTGCTAGAGATCATGCTGAACGGTTGCGGGTGAAATTAGGGTTCCAGGGGTTGTTCTATGTGGATAATAGGGGCGTAGTGGAGGATTGGCACTGTTGTGGAAAACGAATGATACAGTGAGTCTGCTAGGTTACTCTCGTAACCATGTGGATGTCGAGGTATGTATGGATGGTTTTGCGCCCTAGAGGATGACGTGTTTTTACGGTTTCCCGGATCGTGGGGACAGAGGGGAGTCATGGAATCTTTTGAGACACTTGAGCTCCCGGTCTATGCTGCCTTGGGTGGTCTTGGGGGATTTCAATGACTTGCTTTTTCAGTATGAGAAGAGGGGACGTTGCAGACATCCTGAATCGCTGTTGAGGGGTTTTGGTGAAACACTTGAGGACTGCGGCTTGATACAGATCCCCATGATTGGTTATCAGTTTACATGGGAGAAGGGGGAGGAGACGGAGGATTGGATGGAGGAGAAGTTGGATAGAGTTGTAGCGACTGATGAGTGGCGGGGGTGGTGGAAGGAGCCCGGGTCTATAATGTACTGACCAGGAGATCGGATCATTCGGCTCTCTTCCTGGACATACGGCCGGGGGGGGGGGGGGGGGGGGTTTATGTGTTGGTCCGCGACATTTTCGTTTTAAGATGGCCTGGCTGCTGGATGAGGGATGTAGGGATGTGGTGGAAGAGGCATGGGGACATGGGGTGGAGGATCTACAGGCCCGGGTAGAGAGATGTGGCGTAAAGCTACAGAAGTGGGGTGGTGACCGTTTCCATAAGTTTGGGAAACGGATCGCTAGTCTCAAGAAACAACAGTTGAATTGCCGTGGTCGTCTGAGCCCCCAGGCGTTAGCAGACTTTCGCCGTCTGGAATCTGAGTTAGTAAGATTGGAGAAGGAGGAGGATGTATTCTGGAGACAAAGGGCGAAGCAGCATTGGCTTCGTGGGGCGGATGCAAACACTCGCTTCTATCACAGGTATGCTTCTGCCCGAAAGCGTAAGAATACTATTTTACGACTTAAAGATGAGTTGGGAGGATGGGTAGATGGTGATGGTATGAGAGCAGTTGTAATGAGTTATTTTAATAATATTTTTGCTGTTAACCCCGATGTGAGTAATGGAGTGGACTTTTTTGCCTCTATCCCTACTCGTGTTACCGACACCCATAATGAATGGCTAAACCGGCCGTATGACCCGGGAGAGGTGAAAGATGGGTTGTTTGCTATGTTTCCAGACAAAGCACCGGGACCGGATGGAATGAATCCGGGTTTTTATCAGAAGTTTTGGGACATAGTTGGTCCAGATGTGACTAGTTGTGTGCTTCAGTGTCTGAATACGGGGTCCTTGCCAACTGGTCTTAATGAATCAAATATTGTGCTTATTCCAAAAACGCAGTCTCCTGAGATGGTCACGGATCTACGCCCGATTGCCTTGAGTAATGTTGTTTATAAGATTATTGCAAAAGTAATCGCTAATCGTATGAAGCCCCTTTTAGGCGATATTATTTCTGTATCGCA